GGTAGCAACTGAAATCTTATAGACTTATGATGGGCATAAATATTGGAAAACAATTTGATATTATCTAGAAAACTTAAAGATTTTCATATCCTACAATCCTACATATATATATATGTATATGTATATGTGTATATGTATATGTATATGTATGTGTATATGTATGTGTATATGTATATATATATATCCTGAAGAAACTATTGCCCATGTATTCCAGGAGACATGTACAGAAATGTTCTGAGAAGCATTGTTTGTAATGGCAAAAAGCTAGAAACAAACTTGACTATTCATCAACAGGGTAATTAATCAATAAGTTGGTGGATGATTATACATCAATGAAAATAAATAAACTACAGCTGCCTACATCAACATGGATGAATATTAGAAACAAAATGTTAAATAAAAAAGCAAGCAAAGAAGTCTAAAAATAATTTATACCACTCTTAGAATGTTTTTTACACACTTGATCTTAGCCAAAAGGCCGAGAAGCGATTTAGAATGTTTTTTAAAGGGTGGAGCCCAAAATAAACAATATATGGCACTATATCAAGAAAAACCTTGAAATGGTAAACATAAAATTCAGGGGCCACTATAGGAGAGCAGCATATGGCCCCCCTCCCCCATGGTACTAGTATTTTTTTTTTCTTTTCTTGAATTAAGGGTGGTTTAAGGGGGGTCCATTTTATTATTATGCTTCATCTTTCCTATTTAATAATAGCCTAATATGCTAAGTGTCTGGTCGACCAGTCAACCCTTCAACCAATCAAAGAATAATATGCTAATGATATGCTAAGGCTGTGCAACCACTTGCTATGATGTGCACTGACCACCAGGGGGCAGATGCTCCGACCTGTAGGTTAGCTTGCTGTTGGGATCCAGCCGATCAGGACTGAGACAGGCTGGACACGCCCTGGAACCCTCCTGAGGTCCCTCCCTGGCCCCAATCATGCACCAGTGGGGTCACTCGGCCTGGCCTGGCGCCCTCTTGCAATTCGGGACCCCTCAGGGGATGTTGGAGAGCCTGTTTCAGCCTGATCCCACAGGCCAGGCCAAGGGACCCCACTGGTGCATGAATTTGTGCACCGGGCCTCTAGTAATTTATATAAAATGTCAGCTCTGGGAAGGCAAGGATTTTTGTCCTGTTTTGTTCAAAGCTGTATTTCCAGAACCTAGGATAGTGCCTCACACATAGGATCTCAATAAATATCTGTTGAATAAATGATATTCGTTACTTGCAACTTTTATATAATTCAAATACTTCATGCTTTCTAAAAAGAAGAAAAATACCTACTTTACTCATAGTGCCCCTTGATCACTGTAGCTGAAAGTCATACTACCTCCTCAACTCCTATTACCCATTTAACCTGTTAAATTTTGCCACATATTATATACTAGAGGCCCGATGCACAAAAATTCGTGCAAGAGTAGGCCTTCCTTCCCCTGGCTGCTGGCACTGGCTTCCCTCAGCACCAGGGACGTGGGCTGGCTTCCCTCAGGCCGCCTGCAGGCACCCAGGACCCAGGCTGGCTTCCCTCCAGCCCCAGCTTCGTCAGGAAGGATGTCCGGAATGACGTCCAGAAGATGTCTGGTCTAATTTGCATATTACCCTTTTATTATTATAGATGTACATGTCTTTCTTACTGACTATAAATTTATGAGGGGATTATGCCTTCCTCTTTATTCTCAATATGTAGCATAACACCTTGCACACAGTAGATGCTCAATAAATATTGGTTGTTTAATTGAAGTCATAGGAGACAAGGGCAAACCAGGAAGGACAAATCTATGCTATTTATATTTAAAACTGGAAGAGAACTTAACAGTCACCTAGTGTTTTCCTACATTTTGCAAGAGAAAACAACTGAATTCTATAAAGGGGAAGTGATTTTCCTAAAGTCACATGATTAATTAGTAGGTTTCTAAAATCTAGATTCAGATCTCTAGTTTCCTGCCCTTAGCTCTTCACAATATATCACAATGACTTATTTTCTGTTTTGTCTGTGTGTGTTCCTTGGCCTTGGGAGCCTCTAATGGCAGGGACCAAATCTGTTCACATAGATACTTAACATGGCTTCTAGATAAACATGCAGGGCCTGTACAAATTCACCTTACCAATTCAGAAGAACTTAGATTCTTCCCCAGCAAAAATTTTTTTTAAAATATATTTTATTGATTTTTTTACAGAGAGGAAGGGAGAGAGATAGAGAGTTAGAAACATCGATGAGAGAGAAACATCGACCAGCTGCCTCCTGCACATCTCCCACTGGGTATGTGCCCCCAACTCAGGTACATGCCCCTGACCGGAATCGAACCTGGGACCCAGAGTCCGCAGGCTGACGCTCTATCCACTGAGCCAAACCGGTTTCGGCCCCAGCAAAAATTTGTTTGGTCATCCTTTTGCCACCAATTCTCCCTCAGAAGCCTGGATACTAAGGATCGTTTTCCTTCCTTCATTTACTGTTTTCTTTCTCCCAGAATAGGTTGGTTTGCTAATTAATGGCTTCACAGTTCTGCTGTCCCGAGGAGCTGATTTAGTAGGAGAAAGTGTCAAATCCACCCAGCCTCAGGAGCTTGAAATTAGCAATCATAAACAGAGGAGTTTAAGGCCTAAGAATCGTCCTTATTGGCAGTGCAAAGGTACCACTTTAACTTGTACAAAATTCCCTGTTTAGCAGAAAGAAAGGGACTCCTAGAAGGTTAACTTTGGATGGAACCTTAGAAACCACCTACTTCTCTCTCCAAGTGAGGAAACTAGAGCTTTGACAGGTGAAGAAACGTGCAGTTACTCGGGTAGTTAGTAGCAAGGCTGGGACTAGACTCCCAGGCTCCTGCCTCCAGGCCAGCTGTTCTTTCCATGCCGTGTGCTGGCAACATGTGCATCTAGCAAAATGCATCATAGAGTAGCCTCATCTTAAACCATCAGGAATGAAAAACAAATTATCCAAACCTTTCCTCTCCTCTCTGGCAATTATTTTTCTTTGTGTTTCCATGTGTCCTGGTCTCTCTCTCTTTTTGTCCCTTTTATGTTTCTCTCTGTGAATCCCTCCCTCTGTTTGCGGTTTCAAACTGAGCTGCAGCATGCCTGCATGATTCTCTTGATTCTTCTTCACTAAACTACTGTGTCTTTCTAAAGCAAACATGCATAAACCTCTCAAGGCTCCTTCTTGGTGACCTCTGTGGAAAAGAACACGGAATTTCTGTATGAGAGGTGCTGGACCTCCCTCCTCGCCTATCCAGTCAATTAAAACGAGTCTCTGGCCCTGATTTGTTAACCAATCTTGAGAAAGAAAAAAAATCAATCTCCTTTCTTCGTCACTACTGAGCAGGGAAGCTGCTAACCAATCAGAATCTGCCACCAAGAGTCATTAGAAAGGCCGGCCAATCAGGCCAACCTTGTTACATGGTCTGGTAGGAAAAGGAAGGGATTGATTGGAAAGGATGGTTCTGGCTCCACACCCTTTCCTTCCTGGACCGTTTTCCCCTCACTGAAGTGCGAGAAGGACTCTGTCCCAAGTCCTCAGTAAAGAAAATCCCTAGGCCCTTCGCTAATGTTCTCTTGAATAATCTTTTCACCACTCACTCACATACCTCTGTCCACTTTTTGTAAACTCATTGTTCCCTCATTGACTTAATTTCTGGCTTCCGACCTAGTAGCAACAACCCCCAGGATTCTCAGCCTTCCCCACAGACCTCCAACCACCAACCATGTCAAATAACTTGTTTTGGATGTTGATGTAGATGAAAAAAATTACAGTTGAGTATTTTCCACCATCATTGAAAGGACCTTGTAATAATGCCTCTGAGGAGCAGTGCAGAATTGAATGGCAATGCTAATAATAGTAATAATAATAATAATAACAATAATAATGCTGTTACTACTCTTACGAGCATTAAACTCTTACTGAGTTCCAAGCACCTTGTTAAAAGCTACCCCAATGTTCGCTGTGGTGTGCGCCCTATTATTATTCCCAATTTACATAGAAGGTAGTCCATCTAGAGGGGCCCAAGGTCACACAGGGATTTGGGAAAGAGGTTTGTCTGAATCAGAGCCCGGTGCCGGTGAAGGGGAGTAGGGGGGAGTAGACAGGGCAAGCTGTAACAACTTTTGAGAGGAGCCAGCTCTAGCTCCTCGGAGCCCCTTCTGCAAACCTCCTTGGGGACTGTTAGCGGCACCCGAGAGGGGTCAGTGTGGTCCCAACAGCTGCAGAAACCGTTTGCGGGTAGCGGCCCTGAGAACCGTGAACTTTTTGCCTCGGAGGACAGGAAGCTGCGAGCTAAAAGGAACTCAGGGCGGACGGAGTGGGGGTGTCTGGGAACTGGAGGGGACACCCTTCCTCGCCTGCCTTCCCTTGTTCCTCGGCACCTGGCAGCGCCCGGCCCTGCTTGGTACTTGGAACCAGTAAATACCTGTTGATCGATTCACAAGGCTTCCAGTTTCCTTCCTCACTCACCCTCGTCCCCCAAGACAGCCACTGGCCCTGGAGGGAGATGGGGGGTTTTCAGGGGAACCCGTGAGAATCCTCATCCAGCTGGAGC